TACATAAGCTGGGTATGGATGGATGAATTTTGGAAACTTTGGTCCCTTCTTGAGGGCCGAGTCGATCATTCTCTGGACCTCGATCATGTTTACGGAAGCGGCTTCTTCTCCCTGGCTTGGTCCGTCGGATCTATTGCCCAGTCCACCTCTTTTGTCTAAGTTGATTGGTTGTGGCCGGGTTGTCCCTCTCTCGGCTTGTATTGGAACATTCGTAGAAAGCTGCCGAGGTTGGCCGACCTGGCCATCTTCAAAGGCTTTACTAACTAATAGTTCAAGCATCCTGGTCTGCGTGTCGTTGTTACTTCGTATTGCGTCTAGTAAATCATTCATCTTTTGACCAATTGACTGCTCGACCTGTCGATATTGTTCATCAAGTTGTCTCCGAAGAAACGACCTAGTTGGTGGATCAGAACCCTCCCCACCATCGTCGTCACAATCTTCTACTATTCCTTCAACAAACATGCCTGCTGTTTAGTTCGGGACTTCTGAGTTGCGAGGTTGTCCGCCGAGATAGATCTCATTTTCTCGACGTGTCGCAATTGTGGCCTCGGGCGGCGCAACAATGATCAGATTTTTTGCCGGGTGCAAATCCTGCCCAAGGCCTTGCACTGGTAAGTCAGCTGTTGACTTTCCCATGATAGTTTTCTTCTTTACAGACCGTGTCTCAATGGTCATGAACTCCGAAGGTCTAGCACAATGGTCCCACTGGGCGTGCCAAAATGTTGACCCTAAAAATTACAAAACCTACGTGGCGCGCAGGTCGAGTAACTAATAAGCTAACTACGTCATTCGGTTGCATGCGGGGCGTGCCAACTCGTCGGCCGAGCTCGGCCGAGGAGTAAAATTCGTTGATGTCGAGTCGAGCGCGTTGTTGACTTCTTTATCTTGCGACTGCGGCCGAGGAAGGAACACTCTCGGTCTTTGGGTTCGAGAGCCTGAAGACAAGGCTGCTAGTTCTGCGAAGTTCACAAATCGTTGGCGCCCGATTCGGTCACTGTGATTATATTCGTAAGAGTATAAGCACGTCGAATCGACACCAGACTATACGAACACAAGTACTCAAAGGTGATGTAGGTCTTGATGGTGAATGTAGTTCGGCCGTCAGAATGCCGAACTCTGAAACTCACTTGTGAGTATCCAATCATAAAATCACTCGGCGTCCAGCACACCGAATAACGAGCTCGTGACACCTTGCTACGCCAAGAGAGCTAACAAGGTGACCTCTGCCAACAAGGATTCGAAAACCCTTCTCGGCCGAGACTTGGATAGGTAACCAGTCGATCTCGACGCAGTGCTGTTTATCCAAACTGAAGGTGCTCCTAGGTCGGCTGATTCTATGGCGACAGTGCTGTTTATCCAAACTTAAGGTGTTCACCGGGTGCCTCCACAGTGCTGTTTATCCAAACTGAAGGTGTGTTGGCAGAAAAGAAAAGGAAAAATCTCAAGATGTATGAGAGGCTTTGCGCAGGGCAATTGTATGTTGAATTGAAGGTCTTCTGCATCGCATGATTTCTTGTATTTATAGCCCCCATTCCTTGAGACCGAATCGCACCCTTATCTGGATTGGGAGTCCTTGTCCCGCTCCAACTTTGCTTCGAACAAACCCACTCCCATTAGGATTTTGAACTTTCCCCTCTTCCGAGGCCTTATTCTTCGCTGACCAGGAATCCTGGTTGCACCAGGACTTTCTCGACCTTTTTGTTTATTTGAATTATTCCTTCTTAGGATAGGACTTGACCGTCCCTGCTAACTGGCCCAGAATCTATCAGGCAACCCATAGTAGTTGACATAGCTTTGGGCCGAGCCTTACCGTATGCTCAGCCCAACAATATTATTTTGGGCCCAAACAGTATGTTTTGAATAGTTGTTTTCGTGTTTGATTACTGTTTTTTCAGTGTTTTATGCATTTTGGTTGTCAGATTTTTGGTAGTTGATGAATCCAGTGTTGGGAAATCAAAAGTGAACTGTGTTCGCCAATTTCTCCAAGAATTGCTTAAATTTAGCTTTGTATCTCGATTTTTCGATTGTGTTCTACCACAAAGATCGGGAATTTTGTGTGTAATTTTAGTTTTCTTGGGTCAGTAGTGGCTAAGTGGTACAAGCGGGGGGTAGGTGATTAGCGCCGTTGAAATTGTTTATGTACTTTGCAATGGCAGTAGTCTGGTGTACTGAGCTGCACATTTTATTCATATTATTATCAATAATGATTCGGTGTCCTATGAGAAAAGTAAAATGATAATTGAGGTGCAAATTTTGATTAGAAAAGTAGTATGAAAGACAGAATTGTGTGCCTGAGCATGCTCGTCTATTTCCTATCAAGTGTTTTTCCTAATGTTATTACTTTTAATACACTTATAAGTGGTCTTTGCAAAGAAGGAAAATTAAGGGAGGCTTGCTACGCCCATGAAAGTATGCCAAAATTGAAATTTACTCCAAATCAAATTTCATACAAAATAATTATTTAGGGCCTGTGTATTAAAGGAGATTTTTAGAGCTAACAAGTTTCTTTTTCGTGTGCTAGAGAAGTCAATGGTGCCTAAGCCCCTGCTATGGAATTGTACTATTGATTGTTATGGAAGATATGAGGATCTTAGTACTGCACTCTCTATAAAGGATCAATGTGTTCGCTTCTGGTGTTCATCCAAATGTGTATACTTACAATGCGTTGATCCATGCACAAGAAGTAAACGGAGGAAACATTGATCATGCTCTTGCTCTAAAAAAGGAGATGGTTATCTGATCTCTGTTCTGACGTGGTCTCGTATAATTTGTTGTTGGGTGCTGCTTTTAAGTTAGGGCTCCGGTTATGTGATGAAATTCTGAGAATAGGATTTGATCCAGATATATTTACTTACACTGCACTAATCAGAGGGCACTTGCGTGAGAGGTGACATGAAGGAGGCAGAAGAGCTTTTTACAAAGATACATAAATCTGGTTTACCTATCGATCATGTTCCATATCGTATATTTTTCAAGGAGTACTGCTAAATTAAGGAGCCTGACATGGCATTTGGTGTTTACCAGAAGTGGCTGGGAAGGGGATGCAAATATCTGGAGCTGAACATGAGGTTGATTCAAAAGTGATATCAAGGCTGAAAATGATGTTTCCCCAATTAACTAGCTTTTTGTGAATCATGGGAATCTAATTTTGAATGATAATATTGTAGCTAGCTATTGCAAGTACGTTGCAGATTACTGTAATTAGCGTATATTGTAGTTATTGTAAGTATGTTGCAGATTATTACTTGTTTTCTTGAATTATGGTATTTCTTTTGTGCCAAGAACTTTGGTTTGTCTTTTTATTGAGTCTTGCTCATCCAATAATATTAATTTTGATAATATTTTTAATAGAAGAAATTAAAATTTAACATAAATTTAGTCCATATCCGAGCAAACACCAGACTGAATACAGTACTATTTTCATTATCCAGCATCCTAGTCTGACATTGCACCAAATGTTTCACTAAGTTAGTCCAGCTTAGTCTAGTCTAAGCCATTCCAGTTTAGTCTCTGAAATTAGTTCAGTCTGAGATTGTCCAGTGCAACAAACATATCCTTAGTGTTTTCTAACCGAAATGTTAATTTTTATGTGTCATGACGTGGATTGGCAATAAAGTTGGTTGCTGTTAAATTTAATAGCAACTTTAAATTCGTTTTTAATTCATTAATAAATGCTTTTATCATTTTTATTATTGTTGTTAGTTCAAAAAAATATTTATTACAATTATAAAAAGTAAATAATAAACTAAATAATAGTTTAATTTGATACGTCGGATAGAGAACAAAATTTAAAAAATATCAAAGTGTCACATAGTCTTTTAAAATTAAATTTTATATTTACAATTTGAGAAGATGCTCTGATTATAATTGGCTCCTTATAAGTTGTAACTGGGTCACTTGAAGCATGGTGGTCAGTTCTTTAGGCCTCAGATAGAGAGAAGGTCTCTCACGCTGAGAGAAAAGTTTGATGACTTGTTTTTCGGTTCAAGATAGACCTTTGTTTGGACATATGTATGCTTGAATATTTACCGAATGCCACACTTATTGGGAGAAATATCATAGAGTTAATGTGGGGCATGAAATTTTCTAGGCCAGAATAAGGCAAATTGGAATACAAACACCTCTTAAGTATGGTCATGGACTAACCGATTATGATTGAGCTGAGCCATACAAACGGACCAACGATGCCACTAGACATTTAGATGACTAAACGATTTCTGATTCGAATGATTTTTTTTGTAAAGATGATTTTCAAATGAAGATTAAATAATTAAATGTTATGGATTATGAAATTTATATGGTGCATTATTTGAAAGAAGTGGGATATATGCATTTCTTATGAAGGAACCCAAGTATTTTCCTAAACTAGAAGAAATGGAAAAATACTTGCTTTCTCCCTTTGAGGCCTCTTTGGGAGATGAGCTCATTTTTCCAATTGCAAAAAACGTATTTTAACCGTAGAAATCTACAATCAAAATCGTTCAACATCTTCATCTTCATCTGAAGATTATTCCTACAAAAAATAATTCGTACTGAAGATCATTTGTTCATTCAAATGTATCAAATAAATCAACAATATAGATATCAAGTAACATATTAATAATGAACCGTCTATTTATTTGATATATTTGGATGACTAAACGGTCTCTGTTTCAAATGATTTTTTGTAAGAATGATCTTCAAATAACGATTAATATAAAAAACTATTATGATTATGAAATTTTTACGCTAAAAATACGTTATTTAAAAGTGGAGGAATGAGCTCAAACCCTAAAGAAGATGCAAGTATCATTCTAAAAAATGATAGTACATACAATAAGGAAAAAAAAAACATATTATTAGAATAAATTATTTATTCAACCACCATACTGAAAAATGATAGTACATAACATACTACAATACAAACAAAAACAAAAGAAAAACACACTACGATACAATGTAAAAATTTCCAAATAATAAAAAGCAGGAAAAAAAAAGCCATACACAAATAGTTTCAATATTCAAATACATGCTTTTAAGTTATTCCAAATATCCATATCATCAAAGGAGGAGAAGTAGTGATTCCTACTCATCAAGCCTCCTTCTTGTTGAGTACTACTACAATTGACACCTATTGTTGTTGCTGTTGTCGTCGTCGTATCTGCCATAAGATCATATTCTTCATCCCAGAAGCTTGTGAAGAGATCATGTTCCTTCTCTAACTGCAAACCATAACATAATAGTGCTCTTTCAACACTACTTCTGTCTTTATTATTATCACTTAACGAGGTTTCCGTATTTCCATTAATTTCCGTAGGCGTCGATGAAGATGGCATTGGCGACGGCTCTTGTAATAGTACTTGATAATTATGTTGTTGTAAATTAGTTGTAGCTAATTTACGGCCCAAACATTCAAGTTTTTGGAGAAGGTTCGTGGTCGAGGTCGTATTATGACGGTCTTTATTGCTTCTACTTGTATTTGTTGTAAGGGTTTCTGATCTTTTTCCCTGTCACCAGAAGATAACTTCTTCGTTAATCGAGTACTCCAGTAATTTTTCACATCATTTGCTGTTCTTCCTGGAAGTCTTCCAGCAATCAACGACCACCTAAATTACGTACATAATATGGAGAAAAATTAGAAATTCATTCTATATATCCATCCGAAAAATTGCTGTTCCACATTTAAAAGAACATTGCATTTACTTCTAATACATACATACATACATACATACACACATACTGAATTTTAATGTGTCTCACAACCTAAAGAATTCAGAATCAAAATAAGGACGTACACAGACACACATGCATACACGAATGCATGCATACATACATACATATGCCCTTCAACAAAGGGATCTCAATTTGCCGAAAGTTGGGATCGTTGTGGAACCCCTCCGCCTTGTTATTGATACAATTGTTAGGCTCAAGATGTTCCACCATCAACATCACCGATATTGTACTCAACTTAACCTTCTGTTGCTAGGTGCGATGTTTTTACAAAAAATCTAGGTGATATTAGGAGTGGAGTCTCTTATCCATATTTTTTCTACTCCATTGATTAAAACATTATTCATTTTCAATTTTTAATCAAGGTCCTTAGGTTTTATTAACCTCATTAATTATTTCAATAATAAAATATTTACATGTCAAGATAATTAAATTGTATTTCTAAATATATTCATTTAGTGTTAGAAACTTTACATTTGGTATATTTATATTTATGGCTAAACTTTGTATCATATATTTCTATTTTTAGTTTGTACCCATATTTAATTTGCAACCTTTTTTTTTTATTTTTAAATTATACCAATTTTCTTTTCGGTTTCAATTTGTATCCATATATTAATTTTCTTTTGTGCTCATATTTTTTAAACTTTTATTTGTAATCATGAATTTTTAAACTTTTATTTGTACCCATAATTTATTTATAATCTACCCATTTTTATTTAAAAATGTATCACTTTGTTATATGCAAAATGTACCTTCTTTTTTTTTTTTTTTTTTTTTTTTTTTTTTTTTGTAAGTACCATTCATTTTATGTAAAATGTATCCATTTTTAATATAAAATCTATCTATTTTTTCAATCTAAGATATACCATTGTTTTTTTTTTTTTTTAATAAAATGTACCCATTTAATATAAAACGTGCCCATTTTTTTGTATGTGCAATGTACCCACATTTTTATATAAACGTACCAATTTTTTATATGTAAAATGTACCCAAAATTTTATTATATAAATGTACTCACATTATAAAAATCTAAAATTCACCCATAAGCAATTTTTTTTGTTGTGGAAACCCATAAGAAAATTTCAATAATTAAATTGGTGGTGTAAATTAAAGAAAAATAACGTTTGAGTATTTATTGATATTATTATGTAACATCCCACATCGTCCAGGGGAGTGGATCATGTAAGCCTTATATGTATATTCCCATCTCTACCTAGCTCGAGGCCTTTTGGGAGCTCATTGGCTTCGGGTTCCATGGGAACTCCGAAGTTAAGCGAGTAGCGCATGAGAGCACTCCCATGATGGGTAATCCACTGGGAAGTTCTCGTGTGAGTTCCCAGAAACAAAACCGTGAGGGTGTTGTCGGGGCCCAAAGCGGACAATATCGTGCTACGGTGGTGGAGCGGGCCCTGGATGTGGTGGGGGCCCGGGCAGGGATGTGGAGAGAGACTTCAATATAAAACTTGAAATACATAAGGCTTGAGTCTATAACAGTTAGGGATCAAGGACCGCAACTAAATTATCCCATTTTTTTATATATCTTATGTGAGATTCTATTCGCCGACGCACAAGCTCACAAGCATAGTTAATAAATTCACATATAATACACGTATGTACATATTATTAAAAAAATACCTCCTTTTCCGTACATGTTTTAGTTGTTCAATAAATTTCACATTTTTACAACTCCAAGTACTATACAGTATTATACACGACATATGTATTTTTTATGTTAAAATCACGTTATTTTGACACACTTATCAATAAAAATATAAAATGAACGTTTTCTATATACTATTAGTTACATATTTTTCACAGAAATAAAAATAAATAAATATTTTTCACTAGCTCTGCAATTACATATTTTTCACATACCATACCCATTCGTATTTTACTAGCTATGCTCACGAGTGACCCCACATAAGGTCACATGAAAACCATTCTCACATTCCCATTTGTATTCATTCACTAGAGTCAATGAAGCCAAGCCCTGGTCATCCATTTAACACCCTTAAGATGGTGCTATTGCAACTTTTCGAAAGCCAAACTTAAGTTGCTTTGAGCCCAATAAACCAGGCCAAGGATGTAACCTCCTTTGATGTCACGATAAACTTTTTAGACTTGGCAATTCCCATCACCAACATCACAGATATTGTCCTCCAACTTAGGGTAATGCTAGGAAGACTAAATTTTTAAACCAAATGATGTGGTGGTTGGTAATTGAATTATTACTTGAGTGTTAATTAAGGTAGTTATTTCCTATTGGTTAAATATCATTTGGTTTACAAATTTGATCTCCCTAGCAGTATCCCCCAACTTTACACCTATTAGTAGGCCTTGGTAATATTAAAAATTGAATATCACATATATAAATTGTACATATTTTGTTATATTTCCAACATAAGACTCTATTATCTTACCATTATATATTCAATCCAAACCTTCTATTTGTTCAAGTCTCATTTCAAAAGAAAATCGAATATTAACATCCAGATAATATGACAATGATTATATATGTTAAAAAGTTACTAACGGATGTAAATCTTCTAAAGCAAAAGAAACTATATATTGTAACAGAAGAAAGTGCCATAAGAATCTTTATGTATGTACTGGAAGATCTATCGGTCTTTCGCATGGTGGATATTAATCTATTAAGTTTACTTGTCAAGCTTAGACAAATTTAAGTCCAAGAAAAACAACAGAGGTCCGGCCGGTTTATATTCCTATTATATGGATAATACATACATTCCTTTTGCACATATCCCTATTTGCATTTAACTTATTTTAATTGAATAAAATCAGCAATGGGAAAGGTTTATTTTATTAATCTTCATTTGAAGATCAGTCTTACAAAAAAAATCATTTAAATTGGAGATCATTCAAATGTATCAAATAAATAGACGATCATTATGAATAAGTTACTTGGTACCTACATCATCGATATTTTTTATACATTTGAATTAAATGATCATCGATTGAATTAATGTTCTGTAGGGGTGATCTTCAAATGAAGATTAAGAAATTGAATGGTTCCGATTATAAATTTGTACAATCAAAATGCGTTAATTACAAAGGAAGAATGAGCTCATCTCCAGATGGAGAATGCAAGTATTGTCCTATATATATAGGAAGGGAAAATTAATTAACTACGTAGAAATAATCATCAAACTAGAATATATATGTAATATTGCATGCTTGCCTGTTTCCTAAGAGCATCCGAAGCCTGATCATTAGATCTATTTCATCCTCTCTAAAGTTTCCTCTCTTGATACTTGGCTTCAAGTAGTTTAACCACCTCTGTCTGCAGCTTTTCCTGCATCTGTTTAAATCTGCATACAGACATACATACACGTTTATACTGCAAATTAAAACCCTAAAGCCCTCTCTCTGTGTATAAAACAAATACGTAAGTTGGGAGTATGAGTCTAAATAAGCAAGCTGACTCTCTCAACCGATTACTCTATACACTTAAGTATATGGTTGGTTAATAATTACCTACTTTGAGAGGAGCCTGGTGCCATTTTCCTTCTCCATTTTGTTGAACGAAGTGCCTGAGACGATCGTCTTCGTCTTTAGCCCATGCACCTTTTCTCACTATTCCAAACGAATTACCCTCCTCCATCCCTTAATTTTTAATTTGGTGGTACTGTTACGTCTGCGGTTGCTTGATTCCAAACACGACTTCCTGTCCGTCTAATAAAGGGCATCTAAAACCCAGGTATGCACGTGCATTTCTACCATCCACACAGATTAAGGGAAGATAAAACTAACACTTACCCTCACTCGGAAACAATTTTTTTTTTCTTATTTTGGTTCTCTTTCCAGACGGGCTATGGAAATGTTTTGATCGGGTTTTTTTTTTTTTTTTTTTTTTTTTTTTGGCCGTTTGGACGGAAATAACTGATAAAATTTCTCTATATTTTGAATATAAAAGATAGTTTGGCTTTATTGAAATACTAGTCTTTATACACATGCTCACATAAGGCATTTTTTGAATCACGACGTGCTACACGCAAGTTACACATTTTAAATGTATTTATATGCATAAATTGACAAAAGGAAAGTCAAATATTTGAAGAATAATCTTAGATCATATTAGAAGAAACCCCCCATAAACCAATTAAAATAGCTGAATCCACATAATAAAATTGGTCTTTATAGAATTTATATTAAGAATAGAGAAAATAATATTTAATAAATAACTGATTGAATCACATTATTGTTAGCCCATTGTGAGGCTAAGCTCACTCTCTTCCCCCTTAGTATAGATAATATCATTTGTTAAAAAAAAAAAAAAAATCATTTGACAACTAATTTGACCACATTATTATTCGTGTGTGAAAGACTTTTTTTTATAATCGGCATTACATACTTCTTAAGATGTTTTGAATGTGTTTAAAATTTGAGAAAATAATATTTAATGAACAGCTAACTGAATAAATAACCTATTGTGAGGTAGTAATTAAAAAAAAATTAATTATTAGAAACCACTGTTAAAATGACAAAAATACCCCTGCCAAATTGATACATTATTTTGGGCTGTTTTTGAAGTTTTTTGTTTGAGGGGCATTTTTGTCCATTTCTTTTGGTGAAGCTTGTGACACCAAAAAATACTATTCATTAGGCTTGTTGGCTTTATATATAAGATTATTTTTATTACATTTCCAAGAGGAAAATATTATAATTGAGTTTATGCTTCATGGGATGTCTCAACATATTATTACGGGACATAAACTTGAAAACATGAAACAAAATACTTCCAAATGCAAAGATGATCATACTTAGGAAATTTTAGAGGATTGTTGCCAAAAAGGTGAGAAAACCAAATTGCAGGTTTTGATTTTGTTAAGAGCAAAAGTGCTGATAGGGAATAGAGAAGTTCTTGGTGTGTTACACTGTGAGGCATAACCACCTTTATATAGTAGTGTGCCTATAACCACCTTAAGATACCTTAAGATAGTAGTGCGTCTATCTTGGCAAATTACACAAATACCCTTAATTCAATAGTGGAAATCAATTGCCTAATCAATTGAGGAAATGAAGGGCCTAACAGTTACAACAGGTAATTGAGAAATAAATGACCTATTTGAGGTATCAATGGCTTATTCATCACCAAGACTTATTTGATGTATCAATGACTTATTCATCATTGACAGACATAAATATCATGCAACAATATTAAAATTTTAAATAATAGCTCAAAAAATGTGATAGCCCGTCCCGGAAATATCTAAAACGTACGCGTGTAAAGACTATTTTGCCCCTAGTTCGATATCGTTATGTTTATTGGTTGTTTTGAGTTTGGTTGGCATGTTTGAAGCCACACACACCTTCCCACATGCCACAACCCTTTTTTCTCCCTGTTTCCTGCACTGTCCTGAGTCCCCATTTCCCTTCCCATTTCCTTTGAACGTACGGACACACCTATAAACCCATCAAACGTCCACAGATCGAGGAAACCAAGCACATATTCGAGCTCGTGAGGCTTGTAGGAGTCCAACTATACCATTTTCCGGTGAGAACTCCATCGTTTTCATGTCGATTCAACGATGTCCGATTTGGGTACTATTTATGCACACGTGATTTCTCACGTTTTAGGAAATTTCAAGCTTGTAGGTAGCTTGGTGAGGTCCCAAGGAGGCTCGGAGTAGTTCGTTTGAAGGAATTGGACGTCGGGATCATTGGTTTCGAAGTTGGCCGGAGTGGGATTGATTTTTCAGGTGAGATTTCGTGGTTTTTAACCCTTAAAAGTAGTATGATTGTGTTCCTCTAGTTCTAGGCTTCATTTTGGTACCAAAATTGTGGAATTTGGTTGAAAAACGAAGAAGATATCGAAGTTTGCAAATTTTCCGGCAACGGCGCCTGAGGTTCGCCGGGGAAGAAGACGGAATATTCCTGACGCCGTTGACGGAATTTGTCAAAACTGACGGAATATTCCCTACGGCGTCAGTTGACACCGTCAGCGTGCCAGGCACGTGCCTGCGCGTGGCCGGCGCGTGGGGGCGCGTGCGGCGGTGAAAAATTATTTTAAAAATTTGGGGATGTTCGTGAGGTTGAGTAGATCACGTTGGTGTATTCATACACCCCATTTGAGCATTGTATGAGAAGTTATTTCTAAAGTTTGGTTATGTGCTTAAAAATTAACGTTTTTATAGTTATTTCGCATATAGGTGAGACGTATCCCGAGGACGAGCGTGATCACTTGAGGCAGGGGGGTTATGACCCTTCCACTTATCAGTGAGTGGGCTTTTGGTTTTCCGTATATACCTATATACTTATATTTTCCCAGAATTTGATTTGAATTGTCATTTGCCATATGCCATACATTAGATTATCGTTATTTATGCATCGTTAGTCGCATTATTATTTGTATATATATATCCATATGCATATTGGGTGTTGTGGACGCACAGGTAAGTGCCAGGTAAGTGTTATTCACGTTTATATTCAGTAGTGATTTGAGATGCTTAGAGAGCTCATAACCTGCACCCCCGGTGTTAGTGCTCCCGCCCAGAGTAGGGCACAGTCCTTCACGTGTTGTTCACCTCCCGCACCACACGCTCAGCTTGGATCCAAGTTAGGTGCACAGTCCTGTCGTACAGACCATTTTAGGTGGTTCCGACTCGTAGGTGACCCGCGATTATTCGCACAACCTTCACGTGATCGTAGCACTAGAGCGTTTATATGTATTACACCCAGGCCTGTCGTACAGACCACTTTAGGTGGTTCCGACTCGTGGGCAGGTTTAGTTATTGTGATTGAGATCTGAGCTCTAGATGCAGCCGTACAGGTCACGTTAGGTGACTCCAGCTGCCAGATTATATGTTATTGATGTGATTTATACCTGAGCACTTGCATTTCATTGTGAGGTTTGGCATGGCATATTCTTACGCATGATTGGCATATCTATATTTATATACACATGTTTATTTTCTGGGAAGTATACAGGTTTTACGGCGAGGGGTTAGAATCTTGTTTTTGAAATGGTTTTCGAAAAGCTTTGTTTTTACCCATTCACGCTTTTGTTTTGCGCCCCTCCAGGTTCTAGCTGTTCAGTTGGTTTGGTGGTTTCCCAGAGGACTTTCCAGGCATTTCTGACAGACAATCACCAGCGTAGGGCCACCTTCGGGTGTACTGTTGTCGCGTCGTTTTAGTTTGGACTGCTTTAGGCTTTCTGCTCTGAACTTGTGTCTCATTTACGCTAGCACTTTTTACTTCTACCTTATGTATGCTAGTTTTTATTTATTCGTACTTCTTCTATTACTATTTTTATTAGCTTATGCACTGTGCACATGGCTACGTCACTTCCACGTGACGGCCAGCATGCCCTGATCTCGTTCGGGGTGTGTCAGTTTGGTATCAGAGCTTAGGTTTGGCAATCTTGTACTTTTGTGAGTATTCTAATGGTTTTGGTGTCTTCTGTCAGAACTATGCCGCCGCGTCGGGAACCACGTCGCTCTGCTGAGCCTAGTTTCCCCGATATTGCTCAGCTGGGGGAAGCTATTGCTACAGCTATTCAGTCGGCGATCCGCCCTCCCCAAAAGACTCCTCTGGATACTATGTATAATTTGAAGTTGGATAAGTTTGAAGGTAATGAAGGTCATGAGGGTGCAGAGCGTTGGTTAGAGCACATTGAGAAGACTTTTCGTGTGTTGCACAATCAGGGGAACCTTCCTGTCGAGAGGTGGGTTGAGACGACATCGTGGTTTCTGGGTATGGAGTCTGCAGCCTGGTGGGAGCAAGAACTTCGTCATTTGACTCCAGCTGAGAAGACTGATTGGAATGTTTTCATTGATTTATTCAAGAGAAGGTTTGTGCCCCCTGAGTACATTGATCGTAAGAAGTAGGAATTTACTGAGTTGAGACAGAGGAAGCTGACAGCGAATGAGTACTATCGGAAGTTCACTGATTTGTCTCGTTATCATCCTGAGATTGCTGGCAATCCGGCGGAGATGCTTCGTCGTTTTCGCTTAGGCACTAAGAAGAAATGGCGCTCGATGGCGACCACTACTCATTGTAATACTTACCAGGACTTCTATGAGATTCTACTGAGGGTTGAGGATTCAGAAAACATGTCGAGCGAGATTGATGAGGAAGAGAAAGATGGTAATCAGAAGAAAGATGATAAAGGTAAAGGTCAAGCATCGCTCGGGCCTCGTCGGACTCAGAACTTCAAGAGGGGTGGTACTAGTTCTAGCTCTTCTAGCGGTGGTTTCAGCGCCACTGGTCAGGGACGTGGAGGTAGGTTTGCTGATGGTGCTCGAGGCCAGAGACAGGGTGATGGTGGCCGAGGTAGGGCCCTACTTTGCCGCAGGTGTAATAATCGGCACTTTGGTGAGTGTAGGCGTGGCAGCAGTGGTTGTTTTACGTGTGGGCAAATGGGACATCGGGCTGCGAATTGTCCCCAGAGTCAGCAGCAGAAGTCGCAGCATACTTTCTTGCCGCCACCTGCGCCGATTCAGCAGATTCAGGGTTTGGGTAGTTATGGACAGGCAGGTCGAGGTGGTGCCTATCACTATCAGGGTGATGCTGTTCCTTATGCCCCGGGACAATATCAGTATCCCCAGGACCCATATTCTCAGGGTGGTTATCCTCCGTATTTTGGCGGCTATATGCCGTATC